AAAAAAAAAGAGCTTTGTCTCTTTTATGTATGGTTAGATACCGGGCCTGATAATAACATGTTTCAGTGGATGACCAGCACGTATTCATTACGAGGTCAGGTGAAATTCTTGAACACTTGGAAAGCGTTGGAAACAACTGGAAAGTGTTGGAAACAACCAACTATGTTTCGGGGTGAAAAAACTCTCAATCCTATCAGGGCCTAATCCATCAGGATAAATTCTAACGGAAAATCGTAGGAGGTTAAAACCAATGAAACAACACGACCAAGAAAGAACATGAATGCAATGAAACCCCAATATCAAGTAAATGTTTCGCATATAAATATACACACCATATAGTGTCGAGAGTTTTCCAGGATGGAGGGCTCCAAAACGTGGAGAAAAGGAGGGAAAACACAACATATATTTAAATCAAAGCAACAAAAAAGACCAAGTGTTAATAAAGAATTACAACAGCGATCAAAAAAGAAGGAAAAATGCATCTACAGGCTAGAACCGGAGTTAAAATATCTTGTCATACTGACTAGTGAGAGAGTCCTTGAGATTAGAGTATAAACCGTAGAGCGAGTATTGACGAAGGTTCTCCACCTCATACCATGAGTTCAAAGCCGAAAGGTGCTTGTCTGTGCCAGAGAATGCCAATTGTATTCCAAGGCTGCAATCTACAGAGCCTCCACTTGCATGGTTTTTGCAGCTTGACGTCTTGATAGCACAGTCCTGCTTGTTGAGACACACAAAGCTAGAGCCACTCTGACATTTGGCACAACCGTCCCTCTTCCAAAACAAGTTTTGAAGCCTGCCCTTCTTAAATTCAAGCACCTACAAGTACAATAGCTTCTTATATTGGATTATTCAGGTAAGCATGAAGGTATAACTGAGATCAGTATCAATAAGGGATCAAGTCCAAAAAGCTTACAAGAGTAAAGCTTGACACAGTGTAGGTGTTGTTTGCTACAAAAGCAAGGGGGGACCTTGCAGCATATTTTCGACCAGCGAATGCAACCATATATCCGCCATAATTTTCCTGTTACAAGCAAAGGATGAAAAGAGACAAGAGTATAAGAAATGAACCACAATACATCAAGCAAAAACTTGTCAAGACAGAAGACAAATTTGAAAAGTTATCTAAACAAATAGGCAATCGATCAGGAAACTCAAGAGAATGTTATTTTCTTCAATAGATACATCGGGCTTGACAAAAAGTTGAACCAAATTGGCTGATTTCACGTTGACCCAATTGAAAGTTCCACAAAACATTCTGATTTTGCAAATGTCTCAAGGATTATAACAACACCAAATATAAGTCCCATCATTTCGTTAGCTCCACAATCCAATTAGCAATGCTAAGGAGAGATTGCTAAAAGAACAACAAAACCAAGGAAAATTAGAAAGGTTTTCATATGGCACATTTTAATTCAAACCGATTCGAAAATCGAGTTTAGAAGTGAACTCCACTATCTTCTTCTGTTCGGCTATCCCATTTTTCCATGGATTACAGGATTAGTCAGACACGCTCTGAAACAAGATATATTGCTCAAAATTGTACTGTCACAAGCCCTCAAAGAATCCATATCTTAGTAGTTACTCCAACCTTCAGCAACCAAAACTCCAATGCTTAGCCTAATATTAAAACCAAGTCAAGCAAGTCAAATGCTCGGACTAATAGCAAATTTCTGGTTTTGATAATTCTACCTTAATCAATACACTAAAACCCTCAAAGGCACACAATTTTAAGTTCATTTCCGGCCTACATATCAATCAAAATTAGAACAATAGTTAAAACTATATAAACAACTGAGAAGCGAAAACCTCATAAATCACGCCAAACAGAACCCTTTCAAATACAATTACAGTCTTCATACAAAAATCCCTAATTCAGAACCAGAAATTAGCGAAATCATTGATTTTGAAATCGCAACCAAATTCAACATAACGATGAGAGAGAGAGAGAGAGAGAGAGAGA